CCACATATGAGAGAAATATATTTGTCTTCTCTGACTTATTTCGTTTGGCATAATACACTCCAGTTCCATCCACATTGTTGCAGATGGCAAGATTTTATTCTTTTTGATTGCCAAGTAATATTCCATTGTATATATATACTGTTTCTACTTTATCCATTAATCAGTTGATGGACATTTGGGCTCTGTCCGTAGTTTGGCTATTGTACATACCAGGAGTGGCCTTCTAATTGATGTTCTAACATGTGGAAATGCTCAGAGCCTATCCCATGGACACAGAAGAAGACCCTGCACACAGAATAAACCACATGGGGTACCTAGGAGCCAGGATGCCCCCAGGCCTTCATCTTACTTCCAGGGAAGCCCAGTGGCCAGTGACAATTGTCTGGCCCATGCCTGCCAATCTCCCTAGGAGAATGGTCCAGGTAAGACTCTGCTCCTGTCACAACTGTCCTGGCATGGAGTGCATTGTCCTCAGCCATCAGGTCCCTGTTCTCCCCTCAGATTCAGGAGTTCCCACCAGATCCATGGAGGTTTTAGGATTGGCATGGATTCTGGCCCTTTTCTGCACATACCATGCTCCACAGTTTCCCTGCATCACCTTGTGTGGAGGGGTGCCTGTGGATGTTGGGGGAAACTCTAATCCCTCACCGATTTAACTCCAGAAGTTGCAGGAAACACTTCGTGGGGCACGAACTGTGGGGCTCTGTGAAGGGGATCTCCCAGGACTCTACCAAGCACATGAATCTCTTGGCACAGTTGGTACCAAGCCAGCTACCAACTATTAGGGCTGCTTGTTATTCTTTTTTAAAATTTTTTTAATGTTTATTTATTTTTGGGAGAGAAAGAGACAGAGTGCGAGTGGGGAAAGGACAGAGAGAGAGGGAGACGCAGAATCCGAAGCAGGCTCCAGACTCTGAGCTGTCAGTACAGAGCCTGATGCGGGGCTCAAACCCATGAACTGTGAGATCATGACCTGAGCTGAAGTCATATGCTCAACCAACTGAGGCACCCCATTAAAGGAATTGGGATTGTTGGATGAAGGTAGGAATAATATCTGGGAGTGGAAATAAAGAGCAAGGAGAACACCCAATCTCTGGTTCCAGTGGTACATGGGGGAGGGAGAAGGCTTCAGGAGACCATGTGTCAGGGGGCAACCAGGTTTTAGTTTGAACAGGAAGCTGAAGGAAGCTTTCAGTGAAGTCACAACACAGAGTAATTTGTTTATGTCCGTAAACCGAAGAGTAGAAGGTGTGGGGGCCAAAGAGTTTCTATATATTTTTGAAGGTGTGGAAATATTTATTACTTACATAATGGAGGTCTTTTGGGAGAGTAGGGAAGGCCTCTCAGAATGGTCTGAAATGGCTTAAGAGAGCAAGTAAGGGGTGTTAACTTTGGGTCTTTATTGTGGTCAGTAGGTATGGTGGGTGGGAGGACTGCCAAGCATAGGTGAGGGCTTGTGTGGTTTGAATCTCCTGCTGGTGTCAAAAGAGAGAGCACCAGCTTTCTTTCTCTTCTTTCTTTCTTTCTTTCTTTCTTTCTTTCTTTCTTTCTTTCTTTCTTTCTTTCTT